GAATGGATGAATGGATGGATGGATGGATGGATGGATTGTGATGGATGGATGGATGGATGGATGGATGAATGAGGAAGGAAGGAAGGAAGGAAGGAAGGAAGGAAGGAAGGAAGGAAGGAAGGAAGGAAGGAAGGAAGGAATTGAAACAATACGAACTACCGAACGAACTAACGAACGAAGGAATGAACGAAAGAACGAATAAATGCATGAATGAATGCACGAATGAATGCATGCATTAATGGATGAATGAATGAATGAATGAATGAATGAATGAATGAACGAATGAATGAATGCGTGAATGCATCAAGGAATGAATGAATGAATGAATGAATGAATGAATGAATGAATGAATGAATGATTTATTGAAGGAAGAAGGAAGGAAGGAATGAAAAACATAATGAACGAATAGGGTTAGGCAGGGAGATAGAGATTGAGATGTAGAGATATTGGGGCTTTCGAGAAATCGGTAAAGATACGTAAACGTGCAAATCCATTGTCGCTGACCCAACAAGGATGGATGCTGCAAACGTGAATCTGGCATTAGATCATTTGAGGGTTCAGATGTTTCGATCTTCCTCACTGATTCTGTGCCTCCAGTTGCCAGGAGGCCTGTGACCGACGACAGCTTGCTGAGGCAAGTAACATCGTCCTGGATCGTCGCCAACACTGAGTCAGGGGAGCCCGGAACTCCATGTGAGAGTCTAGGTAGACCGGATCACAGTTTTCAAGAATCGAGGCTGCACTGGCATTCTTGTTGGAGTCGGTCCGTATGCCCGTGACCGGTGAAGTCTTCGAGCACATACTGCGGTTCCACCTGCACAATGCAAAAGCGGAAGTCAAGTGGAGGTCGGCCGACCAATGTGGTAAGGCTTGTGTACCCTAATTCAACCAACCCCACATACGTCAACCAACACCGCACCAAGCTCGCTCTACACGACGCGCTGCCGATGTGCCATCAGGTGAATTATTGCAACACTCCCCTGCTGAAGTCGGGCCTGCTGCTTGTGGCTATCCGGCCAGATGTAGATGCGCCTGACTCCCATGTCGAGGCTACAGCACTACGTCGGAGGATGACAGGCCTGCACCTTGACCCGCGAGGTAGCTACATGCTCCAGCAACCATGTTCAACAGCTGGATCAGCCCGTTCGGCAGCATCGTATCCAAGCATGTATACTAGCGGTCCCTCCGACACTCGGGTGGGCTGCCTGTCCCAGGCCAATCCGACGACAAATGTGTTGGGCCCCTCTTGGGCCCACAACAGACCTGGGTATGCACGACGAGGAGACCAAACACGGCGACTAGACAGCACATGATAAGCAGTCCATTATGGAAGTACATTGCTATTTCTCTGCTCAGCCTAGCACAGTCACAAGTCTTTGCCCAGAGAGCGCTGGTTTGTAGCAGGGCCCTGGCTCCGAATCTCTGCCGGCTTCCGCATGGTAAAGCTGCGCAACCTAAAGAGGCCAACAGAGCAGTTCTAGCAGGTTCCAACGCCCACTTTCATGCCTGCCAACAAACCCTCCCTGCAAGTTGTGGGTTTGCTTCAGTCTCGATCAGCGTAAGCGAAAGCATACCAAGATCAGCACTGCTGGCCCGAAGAGAAGTTCCAGAGCTTAACGCACCCATCCTGGTTGTGGAGGGGCCGAGTGTTATCCACATCCTTTCCCAGGCATTGGATCAACCTTCTGACATCATTTGCAACATCGCCTTCCTACAAGAGCTGATTGCGCGGAAACCCTCACGGATATCATCGAGTGCAGAGATCTTGTGTCGGGGAGTCCTGTGTTTCAGTAAGACCTTTCGGAAAGAATACTGAGACAGCAGAAGCCAAGCCCATGACAGAGAGAGAGAGAGGGACACTCTCCTAAAGCACCCGTTTCTCAGCCTCTCCACCAGTATAGAGGCATCGCTTCGACTCGTCAAAAGCCATGCATGTCATCTTGTGATCCTTTCAATTCAACCACCATGATACACAAGAAGGGGGCGGCAAGCTACTGGCAACAAGTCCTGGTGAGCACGACGGAATTCAAACTCGAGCTTCCCTGTCTTGATGTCCCACACCTCGAGCTGACAAGAAGGTGGCAACTAGGATCCCTCACTGTCAAACTGACGAACGAGGAATCCACCGACACCGTCCCCGTATTGTCCCCGGAGATGATCTGGTGGAAAACATCGTTGTACAGAGCTCCAACCTTGGCGCTTCACACGATGGGACAACACACGTCGAGATCTTGCTGGCCACACTAACACATCCAGCGCAAGAATGGTCCCGCACTGCACCTGGAACGCCTGCTACAATCCCTCCTGCACAACTGCAGCCAGCAGACTATGGGCGCGAGATGAGTGCGGCTGGTTTGAACCTGCAGGCATCCAGGATTGCAGTGAGTTTGCGGCAGAATAGAAGCCGTGGCAGCCAACACCGAGTTGCAACTTTGTAGGGGACACCTGAATTGCTCGCAATGGTTCTATGGAAATCGTCTGCCGAGACCTTACCCAAGTGGCAAGGGCGTTCTTGTGGAGCGTTCAAAGCTTCCAAACTCCCGCGGACAAACAGCTCCAGTTTCAGGTGCTTGACACCCCTTGAGCCCTCGAACATGAAAGTCGCCAGAGCTGGGTCGCACCTTGACACTGATCGGCAACACATTGATTAGGCTGGAGCACAGCACCAATGCAGGTCCTGAATCGAGCTACCGCTACGAGGATCCTGAACTCTTGTGGGTCTCTTGGTGGCTTCGTGGCTTTCTTCTGGCAGACATGGAGACTTCATTCGGGATCCTGCTCGAACGCTGTGCCAACCCCCTGTCCAACCATCAAAAATTCTCGAAATCTGTAGTTGGATGAAACACGCATCGCATATTTGAACCTCCAGGTGTCGTCTAGCTTCCATGTACTTGGTCAAGAAGTCTACAGGCAGAACAATTGATGCACACTATAATCGTGCCTTCTTCATCGAACGCCATGCAGGTGAGCCTGTCCTCACAGGACTACGTCGTCACGCTACAGGCCTCCATGAATGTTGGACTTGAGAAGTTGAAGTTCCAATTACCTGCCTCCGGCTTGTACTCGGTTTTGTCGGTGAAGGTCTGGATACACTGGTAGTTCAGGATGTCCCAAACCTGCAGGAAAGCAGGGCACCGCAAAGTGGAAGGTTGCAGTGCTCGGATGGGGCATGGGACGGGTCCAGCCAGTGTGCTGCCTTGACAACCTTGTCAACAGACATCGAGATGATTTGGTGCCTGAGGCGTCATCCAGCAAGGTTGGTCACCGAGAGCTGAGACGAAATTTTGCCAAATCCTGCGACATCCCTTACACGTGTCTACACTAATCAGGCCGGGCACTGCTTCTCGTTGACGAGAACGTCCAACACCGGGGCATTGTGCCTAGGAATCCCGACTTGCGAAAAGAGAAAACATGCTAAGAGTCATGACTCATGACTCAGACAAAATTCGACAGCCAAGGGCTTCTGCGACAAACTGCCATGCTCGACGTGTGTGTGCCGCGCCCTGTTTTCTGCAAGCCCTTGGGGACGCCGGCCCCTGCAGGTAGTTCATGGCCTTCTGCGTGTAGGGATTCCATATGATGATTTGACGGTCCGATCCTTGGTGTCTAGTCAGATGCTCCACGCTATCCCGGGCTCCAAGGTAGGCTCCCGGCCACCCGAAGCAAAGAACTTGTAGTTGGCGCACCAACACCAGGAGTGAACGCCTGAACCGAGGCCACCAAAGAGGCATCCCAGTATCACGGCGGTAGACGCCAGGCAAAAGTCAAGCGACTCTTGGTGAGTTTGCTTCGAGAACCGTAAACCTTTCGGACTTTTCGGAGGACTGCTTCCCCCAGCCTTCCTATCAATGACGATCGGTTCTGGCTGCGACATTTTCTGCCATGGGGGGCGGCATGGATGCTGTCTGCCCAACGTGAGACAGCCCCCGCAGCCTGCAATTCCCGTCCGTGGCCAAGGCATCCTGTTGATTTTCCAATCCCTCCATGATCTTCGCACACGCAAGCAAAAAACGGCGACACCTCCATCCATAAGCCTGACGCAAACCCCTCTTACAAGGTCAAGAACCAGTTCCAAATCACAGCTCCAGCGCGCCCGTTACACAACTCGTTGGGGGTGCCCTATTCTGATGCCATCACTGAAAAGCAGCAAGTGTTCCGGAGTCTCGCCTTTCTTGTGAAGGCGTACGGCATCGCGCCCTTCTTTTCGCCTGAGGTTCAGAAGCAACCGATGTCACAACAGCATGAGCACCAGAAGCCAAATGTAATGCTTTGGGATACTACGACAGCGTGTCTTATGTGTTTGTCTACAGGCCGTCCCAAATCAGAAGACTGAAAGCAGCCAAGTCCCAATCACTAGACCTGCTTGGATTTGGTTCGTCAAAGGTGCTGATTGGTGTGAACATCGCAGATGTTGATTTCACCATCCAGGCTGCAGGTAACCATCGCTTGAAGTTGCGAGACAAAGCCAACCTTCCAGGACGTCGGACATTGCGCCAGACGTGCGAAGAAAGTCCAGATCACAATCGTCCAAACTTCTGGCCTTTGTGACCCAGTCCGTATGGTACTTTGTTCGGGACCTGTTTGCACGGGTCACGTCTTAAGGCGAGGAACCGTTCAAGTTCAAGTGAACGGCCTTCGCCGTTTGTTCTTGCCATCGCTGTCAGGCTTTCCTTCTGACTTGGGCTCTTGTTCGAGCCAGTAGTTGGCATCCAGAGGGTAGACACTAACCTCGAACTGCAACCAAGCAAAAGTTGATGCTTAAATGGCGCCATGCCAGGGCCAACGTGATGTCTGAGCTTCCGGCATAGCCTTTGTCGTCACCTCGATGGCCCACAGCGAGACAAGCATAAAGCTCGCAGGCGTCACTCGCCTCGAATGTCCCACCGGGTTCCCCTACCGACCATCAGGATCTCCTTCTCAGAGCTCTTGTTTTCGTGGAAGCTGAGACAGCGCAGAGAGTCGAAAGAGTAGGCATTCTTGTGCAGAAGAAGAGCTAAGAGCTCCTCCGACATCAACGAGCTTAACTTGCCTGAGGGCCCCACTCAGTGTATCCCAAGCAAAGGGGCCTCGGCCCCACCCACGAAAAGGCACTATCGTGGAGACCACGGTTTCGGGCCAACAGGGTGTTGCAAAAGCAAGGAATAATGGTGCTGCCCTTTTGCAAAGCTTAATGCGAGAGTGAACCTTCATACCACAGGGGCAGGGGCACCATCCGCAAGGGGAAAAGAGTGGCAACAGTCGCAATAAGCCAGGATAACGATACTATTCACAAATAGCTGCAACCATGTCCCATGCAGAACGCACTGCCCGCTCTTCCAGGGCTTGTGGCGGCAAATCGAATGTAATTACAGCACAGCGTGCGACGAGACAGCCACGTGAACAGCTTCTGCTTGGCGGCATTCTGGACCAAACTATATCTCCCACCACCGCAAACGAAAAGGACACCGAAAAAACTAGAACCAAAGCAAGACCACAGGCACCACGGCACAGTTGGGGCCCAGTTGGGGCGTGGGGCTAGCATGGGGTGAGGGGAGGAAGGACCCTGCACTGCAGAAGCGTGAAAGTGCCTGGGTCCTAGCTACAACGGGGATCCCTCGGGGGCGGGCGTTCCGTCCTTGTGGTCGATGTGGCTGACCGGGCCTTGGAACACTACAGCTCGAGAAGCCGTGCTCGAGAAGCCGTGCTTGAGAGCCCGTGCTGAGAGCGCTGTCGTAGAAGAAGATACGGAAGCCTCAACTGGTGCGGTCATACATGACACGACTCCCACGAAACTACGACTTCCAACGCGCACCGAAGAGAACTTGGCAGACGGCTGGATGAAGCGACGGCCAGCTTCCTGGACCTTGGTGCCGGACAGAGAACCGGCAAGGCTCCTTCTCAACCAAGCCCGGCTCAAAGGCATGCTTGCAGCGATCTGGAAATCAAAATACAGCCATGAAAGATGGATTATTAGGCCGCAAAGCAAGCATCAGTTCACAGCCCACTACAAGCTCGACGCTAACGAACG